GCAAGATAAACAAGTCAGCGTACTTTAACATAAGTGTGCAACCAAGCTGACACTATTTTTATCATCCTAACGACATTGTACATGTGGCTATGCAGACACGGTGCTACTTGTGGCTGCGTGACTTGTTCCACTGCCGCGTGCGAAAGAAATTCAACGGGAAGCATTTCCTCCACAAGGCGCTGACACAAGAAAAACTCACTTCCATCTCCCACCTCACCTATCTTGTTTGACACTAGATGCTCATGGTAATCCTCCTCACCTTTGATTTCTCACTAGATATGCAAGTGAAACTTGTGAAGTTCGGTTATAGTCGTTAGCAGCCAGCATGAAAGATGTCTGATTTTGCCCTTCCACTTGCTCCACGAGTAGCACCCTTCCAGTTGTGAGGATTGCGTGCAATCGCAACTGCACTAGAGATTAGCTATGATTTGGAATGCCAATTCCAACAAATCACGCAATCGTCTACTTGCCAGGAAGAGGAGGGGGCGAGAAGGAGGTGGGGGCGGCAGTTAATCAACCACAACTCGGTTACTATTTCTGCATGACTGTGGAGCTTACGTTGATACGGCCAATTTTACTGAGCCAATGAGTGCCCATGCGAAAAGTCTATTTAAGACGACAAGATGCAGTTCTACTCATCACTTGTCGGAGGTGCTTACTGTAGGTAGCTTCTACTTCTCACTGCCCAACTTCTTCACCTACTTCCACCTCCTCCTTACATCATGCCTTTCATCTCAACAACTCTTTCTAAAAACTCAACTCCTTTTCGCTGTGTATATCGCCTGTGACGAAATTAGCAATTTCACATGCTAGTAAATAGCTGCAAAGGTAGAGCGTACTGCTCTCGATAGCCTAAGTGCTGCGCCATCTTGCCTGGTAATTGGTAGGCGGGGTGATTAAAATTGCCTGATTTATCTTATGCAGACTGGGATTTGAGCTTCCAAATGGACAGGTGGACATCACAGGACGATGCGGTGACGATGCTGGACTCAACTCCGGTGTACTCCGAGGCCGACTATCCCGAGTTGATGCGAGATGAATTGTGGACGCACGTGGACTGCAGCCATTTCTCGAAAGTGAACGAATCTGCGCTGCACGGAGGCGATGCCATTTGACTGCCACCGCGTCCACTCCACGCAACTCACTGTGAGCATTTGCATGACTTCCTCCAACTCCTTTTGTGTGCACCATTGGAGCCTTTGCATTGCACTCCACCATGGCATTTGCATTTGACATTTGTGTGTGAAGATGACCCATTACTCTTCTTTGTATAGCCCACTCGACCACTTCTTGTTTTACTTGCTCTCCTTTGTAACAACAACGTGTGCAGCGATAACTTCATTTATGGCTCAAGTCACCGCTTCCGCAGCCACACAGTTCAATATTCATACCTCCTTCGCAAAATGAATTTCTTTGCTTGGCTGTGACTACGGCTTTGGCATTGAACGGAATTGCCGGGTCTTCTGCCAAAATGTGTGCCTCATTCCCCAAATCACAAACCCTATGACATTTGAAGCAAAAATTTGCATTTAAACAGCTCTCCCGCCATTATCCGGTCGTAGGGACAGTGCGACTTCCTACTTAGTACGGCTACTACGAAGCGCTCGCAAGCACGTTTTAGGTGCCTTCCTCGAATTATCCCCGACTGCACGGTTCTGTACTCCTCACAACCCATTTTTAAAACAATGCTAGCCATGTATTAGCAAACCAAAACTGCCCTTCTATGGATTTGATCGAAGGATCCTTGTCAAGTAACACACTGTCAATACAACTCCTCCACTTCATATTGTACTGAAGTTGACGCTTACACAAATGCAGCTAAACAGACATCACAACGTGTCTGTAACTCTGCATAGTAGATGTGAATAAAGAGCAATA